TCTCAGAATCTCAGAATCTCAGAATCTCAGAATCTCATAATCTCAGAATCTCAGAATCTCAGAATCTCAGAATCTCATAATCTCAGAATCTCAGAATCTCAGAATCTCAGAATCTCAAAATCTCAGAATCTCAGAATCTCAGAATCTCAGAATCTCAGAATCTCAGAATCTCAGAATCTCAGAATCTCAGAATCTCAGAATCTCAGAATCTCAGAATCTAAGAATCTCAGAATCTCAGAATCTCAGGATCTCATAATCTCAGAATCTCAGAATCTCAGAATCTCAGAATCTCAGAATCTCAGAATCTCAGAATCTCAGAATCTCAGAATCTCATAATCTCAGAATCTCAGAATCTCAGAATCACAGAATCTCAGAATCTCAGAATCTCATAATCTCAGAATCTCAAAATCTCAGAATCTCAAAATCTCAGAATCACAGAATCTCAGAAGCTCAGAATCTCAGAATCTCAGTATTTCAGAATCTCGGAATCTCAGAATCTCAAAATCTCAGAATCTCAGAATTTCAGAACTTCAAGAATTCTGAAATTTGAAATTTTGAGATTCTGAATTATAAATTTCGGAGGTTCTGAACTTCTGAGGTTCTGCATTTCTAAAATCTTTTCATTTCGATCCCCAAACCTCTCTTGAAATCATTTCCGAACTCAAAAATCGAGTTTCCACATATCGCTTCCTGAGAAACAGACCCATCTGGTAACTAGTGTTGAAACCGCGCTGAAAACTTTTTTCAAACTGTTTTTCAGAATTTTTCAAAATACAAACATCTGTCAATTGTCCTCTGCCTCTGGGAAAATATTTGGCGACTTCTGGGGGATATCCTTTATCTGGTGCACGAGCTCCGTGGCGGAAAAGCTGAAATGGTTGGCGTTAGTCTTAAGAAATCCTTTAAACTCACCGCTTGCGCGAAAATCAGTTTCGGTGGTTTGTTGGGATCTTCAGTAGATGGACCTGGTGTAGTAGATTTGTTTCCACCAACTAGTGCTTCAAACTTCGGAGCGGGTTCTGAAGACGTTGGAAGAGTGAAATAGAGAATCAGACCGACGACGGCAAGTGATGAGATAGCAGCAATTCCGAGGATTCTGAAGGATTCTAGGAGTCAACAACTTGTGAATTCAAGACACTTACATCAAATTTGTCGTACTAAACCATCCCACTTTTCTAGCACTTCCAGAGGTTTTAGATGCTGGAGAATCCATTTCAACGTCTGCCGTTTCTTTGCGTGTTGTTGGAATATCGTTTGATTCTCTCCCCGAACTCATCTGATTTCGATTTTTCAATAAATTTATAGAACAATGGTTTTTTAAATTTGTAGTTTTTTTAAGGTTTCGATGTGGAGGGAAAAAATTGGAGCTCTCTAGTGATGAGAATTGTCTGGTGATGAGAAGTTTAGCGGACCACGTTCTATAATTTTCGAAATTTAAGACGGGACAAAAGAAGATAAAAAATTTGAAAATTCTGAGAAGCTGGAAAGCTGGAAATCCAAAATCCAAAATTTTGAAAAGTTGAACTTTTTGAAAACTAATTGTTAGAAATATTGGAATTTATAAACCTTCCAAGTTTGATAGAAGTAAACGTCCGGGGGTTGAAAGTTTTCAAGTCTGCTAATTTTGAAATCAAACTTTAAAAATCTGAAAATCTGAAAATCGGATAATCAAGGGAACCTGAAAATCTGAAATTTGAAAATCCAACCATCTGAATCCTACTTTATCATTCTCAAAATTCTGAAATCTCAGAAATTGTAAATCTGGCAAATGCAGAAAAATGAGAATTCGGAAATCTTGGAAATTGGAAGTTTTGAAAATCGGCAAATAAAAAATAAATCTGGAAAATCCTGAAATCTGGAAAACTTGTAAACCTGATAATCTGGAAATCCGAAAATTCCAACATTTTGAAAATTTGGAAATCTCAGAATTCGTAAACCTGGCGAGATTCAAAGGGATCGAAAATCTGGGATCCTGGAAATCTGAAAATCTAAAAATCGGGTAACCCCGAAATCTGAAAATCTTAAATTCTGAAAATCTGAAAATCCGAATACTGAGCAATCTTGCAATCTGCAATATTTTGCGAAACTCTGAAATTTGTTTATTTTAGAAAACTGTTAACTTGAAAAACTGGAGAAGTAAAATAAACCGGAATTGTCGTCTCATCTCAATTCGAATTCACAAAAAATCTTAAAATCTAAAATTCGGTCCTTCTGTGCATTCGTGAGTCTTGATGTCTTTGGTGTTTGACTTAGTAACTTTTACGTCAAGTTTTTTTTTCCTCTAACAAATTGAAACTTTTTTCGGAATGTCTACTCCCACGCATGAATGCAAACCAATAGTCAAACCCCTGAAGCGTCAGTTTTCGCTTTTCTTTTCAAGAAAAATACAGTGAAAAAACACAAAAGAAGTCATCATGGTCAGTTTTTTTCGAGAGGAAAATGAGGGACAGAGGAAGAGAGAATAATAATAATAATTTATTAGTTTGTATTGGTTTTTTGAGTGGTTCAGTTTTTTGGGCAAAAGTTCCAAAAGAAAAGGGATTTGTTCTAATTGGAGATCATAAAGAAACTTGAGGGGAGGTCAAGGAATACTTTGGTGGTCATTAGGTATGGAATTGGAAAAAAGATCATAGATTTTTTTGATTCCAAGAAGAGCCATATTAAAGGTCCTAGGATTTTTATTACAGATTGTCAGATTCACTTGAATACCATATTTCCAGTTTTGGGATTATTGCTTTACAGATTTTTTCAACGTTTTCCAATTTTCAGGTTTATGCAGTTTTAACCTGTCTCGCTTTTCCGATATTTAAGATTTTCCGTTTTCAATATATCCAGCTTTCCGGTTTTCCAGAAACTGGTAATTAGCCCATAACTTTAACTTTTCTTGACCATTCTCCTGTTTCATTCTCTTAAAGTGTTCCTCTTTACACTCCAACCTCGCCTTCTCTTCTATTTTTTCTCTCCCTTATCCCATCATTTCCGTACACTGTGACCTCCAATTATAGTGGGAGTGTCTTGCCCATTTTTTTGTAAAAATCAAACAGCAAGGTAACAAAAATTGTTCAATTTCGTAACTTCTTGATTGGAGAACACTGGAACTTTGGGAATTGTTGGGAATTGGAAATCTGTAAATATGGAAATATTGAAATTCGAAAATTTGAGCATTTAAAAATCTAGTAATCTAAAAATGGAAGACAGCCTGAAATTCTGAAATTCTGAAATTCTGAAATTCTGAAATTCTGAAATTCTGAAATTCTGAAATTCTGAAATTCTGAAATTCTGAAATTCTGAAATTCTGAATTTCTGAAATTCTGAATTTCTGAAATTCAGAAATTCTGAAAATCTGAGAATCTAAAAATCTGAAATCCTAAAATTCTGAAATTCTGAAATTCAGATATTTGGAAATCTGAAAATCTGAAAGTCCTGAAATCCGAAACTTTGGAAATTTGAGAACATCGAGTTTTTCGAATTTGGATATTCGGATATTTGGGAACCAGGTAATCGGTAAATCCGGACATCGGGATATCTGAAAATCGGGATATCTGAAAATCTGATCATCTTGAAAATGAATGACGAAAATCGGAGAATCTAAACTGGGTAGAATTTGGGAAGTCAGGAAACCGAGAGAAAAAACTCACATCTGAAGTTCTCACCTTCTGAAAATATGAAAATCTGAGAATCTCTAGTATTTGAAATTCGGGAAAACAGAAAATCAAGATCTCAGGTTATCAAAAAATAAGAACTCTTATTTCTGGGCATCTGAGTCTATTGATTATCAAGACACTGATTCTCTATGACTATCAGACATCCAGACAATGAGACACATAGACCTCTGAATCTCAAAATTCTGTTTAGGTTTTTCACTAAATTCATATAACCTTCAATTTACATTCTAGACCGTGCCTCTCTTTTGTTTCAGCTAGACAATGGTCATCTAAAGAAATAAAAAAGAGGAGACGACACCAAAATTACGTATCATTTCCATTTTTCTGTAAAGCCCTCCCCGAAAACTTTCGCTTGTTTTGTTCAACAATAGACGGCGGCAAGTGTCCGGTAGGAATTAGAAAAAATTTCGAGGTAAGTAGTTGATATGATACCCCCTACCGTTTAAACAATACCCCCTCCTACCTACCTATTGTCCTTTTCTCCACCCGCCTCTTCTCGAGTCCATCGTGGCCTTCTCGTGTAGGCTACGAAGTGGGCGGAGCCTCCGACGCACTACATAACACGCACCGAAACTGTCTCGATTCCCTCGTATCCTCTATCAGTTTTTGTGACTTTTCGATAAGAAAAAGTATGCATCTTCGCTCGCTGGTCCTACTTGTTGCTATTCTGGGATCTGCCCATGCCAAATTTCACTCTCACTTCTATAATTTTTTATTGGGAAAATTCGGAAAACCAATTGCTGACGACTTGTTGAGGCCAGATTTGGGAACCAAGGGATCGTTCGGAGGCGGAAATCCAAATGCAACGTGAGTTTTAACTTTGGAAGCTGATAAGTTTTTTTGGAAGTTTGTGCAAAACTTTGACTTTGAGATCACATAAGTTTCTTGGAAGTTTTTAAAATTGTCCAAAAACGGACCTAGATTTTTTGAAAATTATGTTTTTTAATATGACCAAAATTCGTTGAAATCCTTCATGTGGCTGCCGAGTTGTAAGCTCTAGAATATATTTTTTTAACTTTTATATGTCAAACCATAACTTGCTTCCGACTTATGGAATTCGGCTGAAATTTTGTAGAAGTTTTCATTTATATTTTGTTTTCCAAATATTAAAAATTGACCCAATCGGATCTATACTGACTGAGATCCAGACACCTGATCGTCTGGCTCGGACCAGAGCTCAAAGTTGAGGGTTTGGGGTGGCATGCGATTTGAGTGTTTACGGTGTTTTGACTATTTTTGAAATATTTTTTAAACAATATTGATGCAAAATTTCAGTCATAATTCTTGATACAGTATTTTCATACTCAAATCAAATCAAAAAATCCTCTTCCTCTAGCTTCGACTACAGAACACACCACACCAAATTGGCCACTTTCTTCTAGCCAACCATACTTTCTAGTCAGTCTAACAGTTATTGATCTTTCCCAATGATCACTCTAGATCATCAGAACAAATGACCTGATTGTTCTGATCATCTACTGATCTAGAACACTATCATGACATCATGATAAGCTGATGATTTCAACAAAACAAAAAGAAACTTGAATTAAATTTCTTTTTTTCCAAAATCATCACTTGACCTTAAAAGTCTGTGGTCAGGGGCGGAACGTGGTCTGTGTCTCAGAAGACGAAATCTCATTTATTGATGACGTCACGAATCCCGATTTGTGATCTCCATAACCTGATCTATCCCCCATCTTCTTCCAATGAACAAGATTTTGACACACAGTTCTTTGTATTGAACAATAAAAACTTTATACATAGGATAAACAGAAATGTTTCAGGGGTCTTCCAATTGTTGTCATTCACGGATTGGCTGGTTACGCTGGATTATCGAAAAAGAGTTTGCTGAACAAGTACTACTCGTATGGGCAACCAAAAGGAACCGTGTTCGCGACGACTTATGCGCGGGGAAAATTGATGGACTCGTTGCAGCATGGAATGCAGTGTGATTATGTTTTGAAGGTGAGAAGGGATTTGCAAAAAAAAGGGATTTTAGGATAATAGACAACGAGAAGCCTACCTTATACATGCACTTTAAGTCTAATTATCTCGGATCTTTTAAAAGTTATCAAGAAGTTGTCAACTGATAATTTGTTTATTAACAACATTTTATCAGTTGACAGAATTTTTATATCTCTCAAATGAACCGAAATAATTGAGCTCAAAGTGGAGGTGTTAGAGCAAATAGGGTATCTAGAGTACCGGACAAAAAATACCACATTTTAACGTTTTTAGGGGGAAATAGTCAATTTTGGGGAACTGAAAAGTGTCCCAGAGTTTTACAATTTCTCTGGAATGTTTTAATTGACAACTTTTTTGCCAATTTCCAAAGCGATAAAGTACCGTATTTTCTCTAATTAAAGCCAACCCAATATGTGCACTGAGCTAAATTATCTCGGCTCTTTTAAGAGATATCACACTTTTGTCAACAGATAAAATATTGGTGATATTATGATAAACAATTTATCAGTTAATAACTTTTTGATACTTTTTGATGGAACCGAGATAATTGAGCTGAATAGGGTGGGTTTCTATTGTGCGAAATTTAGCACTAAAACCAGAGTTGTTACAGTTTTACGCCTTATGTCTCGTTTGGTTAGATTTTAACAAAAAAGTTGTAAATTACAAAAATGAAGCTCTAATTTGGTTTAGTATACTCTAGAATTTTCAGACAAATCGAAATATCATGGACTACTTTTGCAGGACTTCGAAGCTTGACTAGAAAAGTTTTAGCTTGCATCGGTACTTCAGTTCTCTAGTTTTTCTTCTAGACTTGTGAAATTTCTGAAATTCAATAATTTACGAGATCGCGAACTTTTTTTTCATCCTTCGTCCTTTCTGACCAACTTAATTTGCCCAATATGTAGCCCTTGTTGACCTCTCTTTCCTCTTGAAATTGCACCTGACGGGTTCTAGACAAGAGGTTCTTGAACATTTTGAACTTTCGAGATCCTTGTTTTGAAGTACAGGGGATTCTAGAAATATTTCATGAATCCTGAACTCTGTAGAGGCTACCAAGATTTAGGTAATTAGTCAGGAAGTTGTCTCGAAATTTCAAAGTTGTTGATTCCAAATCTGGCACTTTAAGATTCTCGAAACATCAAATTTTCTGATTAGGAATCCAATATAAAGATGGCATCATCATTTTGTACCCAAAACACTAACAAATAAAGTACTTAAAGATGCAGCGACCCAATGATTTCATACCACCTTGACCACAAATTTGAACAAACTACGTCTCTAGTTTAACGTCATCATCATCTCCCCCTGTCTTTCGTGGGATTCCCCTCCCGGAACCCCCCGCCCGAGAAATGGGTGTGTTGTGTAAACAGATTTTCCGGGTCATCCTTCTTCTACGTCACGACTTCTACTTCCACGACACATCTTATCACAGAGAGAGAGGGTCTTGAAAGATCATCAACCGCGCAGGCAGTATTCTGTAGATGATATGACCATCACAAACTACACATTCAACTACACGGCTGTGTGTTTTGTAATAAAAAGAAGAGGAAGGCGTCAGAGTGTGTCGTCGCGACGAGGCGTCAGAACGTCGGAGGGGATGAAATGATGGGAGATAGTTACACTACATGATTATGTCTGTGAAAAGGGTTTTGGTCAAGGTGGTATGAAATCATGGGATATATACTAAATTACGTCTGATTCTGAAGACTTTTGGTCTTTTTTTTAGTTCAGGGATCACTAGAAAAGTTTAGGGACCACCAGACTAGACACATCAAAGAAAATCGGTCAAGTTTAATTTTCCGAGAAGTGGGGTAGATAATTAGAATTGGGCAAATAGGCGGATGATGATACAGAGAGTTTGGGATCTGTTAGTCAGAACTATTGTGACATAGATCATTCTAGAATATAGATCACAAGCTGTCTATGTGTCTGTGAATCCCGATGTCCGGCTGGGTCTTCTAGGATCCTAAGATTCGAGGATCCTAAAATCCGAGGATCCTATAATCCTAGTATTCTATGATCCTAGGATCCTAAGATTCGAAGATCCTAAGATCCGAGAATCCTAGGATCCTAAGATTCGAAGATCCTAAGATCCGAGGATCCTAGAATCCTAGGATTCTAAGATTTTAATATTCTCAAATCCCTAAATCTCCGAAATCCAAAATCCTAAGGTGCCAAGATTCTTCTAGACTGCAAGATTTCCGAAATTCCATTTCTAGGTCCGCACCCTAATCCTCGCCGTCCACGAATACACCCAAAAGCAAGTGAACATCATCGCCTGCTCCATGGGATCCCCAATCACTAGAAAAGCCATCCTTGGAGGCCATTGTGTGGATTCTGGAGTCAATTTGGGACGTTCAATCAATCATCTCATTCATAACTACGTCTCTGTCGCTGGAGCCAACCACGGAGCCATCATGTGTGCTCGTCAGCCATTCCTCAATGGAATTTGCAGTCCGACTCATGGATTAGACTGTCGATCAAAGTTCATTCAAGAGATTAACTCTCAGTAAGTAACGAACCCCTGTTTCTAGCCAAACCGAATCCTTCCAGACCATTCCAATACGGAAAGAACATGTTTGCCATTTACTCAGTCGCTGATGAAGTCGTGGGTCTTCGAAACACCTGTGGAGAGATGGCATCGCCATTGGAAGGAGCCACTCCAATCGTTAAAACCCGTCTTCTCCATGGAGCAGTCATTGGTGGAACCACTGAAGATCAATGGAGATGTCTTCAGACCCCATAAACGTGTATTTTCTCCCTCCGAACTCTATTTTCTATGATCTCTAATGTTCCTCCTGTTGATTCGAGAATCTTTTTGCTTTCAAAATGTATGTATATTGTTCAAATGATTTGTAATAAACGAGTACAAGATTGGTATCAAAACACAAAATTGTTCAGTCGATCAAAAAGTCTGTTAGACGCGGTCAGTCCGAGAAAAAAGTAAATAAGAAAATTGAGATCAATCTATAGACACATAGAAGTTTAGGATTGAGATTTTTCTGTCGGATCGAATTGAAACCAAGATGTTGTTTTTGGTTGTTAAGACTTCACAATATACCGTAAAACATGTAATAGAAGAGCCCCTCAACTTTGAACTTTAAGCACATTTATCTCGGTTCCTGTCAAAGATATCAAAAAGTGGTCAACTGACAAAATGTTTTTGATATTATGATAAACGTATTTCCAGTTGACCACTTTTTGACATCTTCTACAGGAAAAGAGATATAAGACCTCAACATTAACAGTGTGGGGCCCTTCAATGTATTACAGGTTTTACGGTAGTCTAGAAGCTCAACGTCGGCAATCCGTCGTTTCGGTTTTTGTTGTTAGCAGGTTCGGCAAAAGGATCACAGAATGGATCCTCGGTAGTACGGCAATCAATCGGGTTATCGAAACTGAGAGCAGTGAATGAACGAGCTCCCATTTTACGACGGACCATCACGAATCCAGCGGCAACCACTCCACCGACGCACAGCAACAAGAAGATAGTGAACATCCAGAATCCAGACTTGATCTCGAAATCACTCTAATAGAAGGCCACTCTATACTTGTACTTTGAGCTCAATTATCTCAATTTCTATAAGAGATAACACAAATTTGTCAACTGATAAAATGCTTTTCACAATATCAGCAACATTTTATCAATAGACACATTTCTGATATCTCTTATAAAAATTGAGATAATTGAGCTCAAAGTACAAGGATAGGATGGACTTCTATCAGAGTGTTTATGGTATCAACAGAGATAGAGTAAAATTGTAACTGAGTACTTTTCAGCTTGTACAATGTTATGTTACTTTATGAATCAACAGATTCATTTTTTAACTGAAAAGTGGTTTTGTTCTACTCAGTGTGAGAGTAGTTATTGTCTGGCAAATACTCACTTGCTATAGGATCATTTGCTATTTTCCCATTTGCTTTGAAAGCTCATTTGCTAGACTCTCATTTGCTATGGATCTTTTGCTATTTTAGCTCCATTGCTATAGATCATCTGCTATGGGGTTTCAGAAATGTTTCATAAATGAGGTCATGATAACCGTTTTTATTTGTTTTATACTACAGGCTTTGGTTAAAACGTTGTTTTTTCCTAAACTTTTGCCTAAGCCTGAAATTTCAAACAAATATAGCAAATGCTCTATTGCAAATGAGCTAAAATAGCAAAAGATCCATAGCAAGTGATAGTATAGCAAATGAGCTTTCAAAGCAAACGGAAAAATAGCAAATGATCTTATAGCAAGTGAGTATTTGCCTTATTGTCTTGAGCTACAACTTTCAAGAAGTACACTCATTCAGTTTTTCAATCAGGTTCCATGATTTCTTTTCAGATCGTTCTACAAATAAATGTTTTTTTTTTCCTTCACAGAAACTTGTCTATGTGGAACCGTGTATGTAAGGTGATAAATTCTAAGCTCAGTCCGATGGCGTTTGCTAAGCGAGTAGGAGCGATTCCTTATGATATTCTGATCCCTCCCACTTGACCTACAGGACTCTAGTCGGTCCGTCGGGTCATTTTACTTTTTTATTTGTACAGGTCCCATTTCTTGCCGAATTATCTATCGATTTCCCCCATGCATTGCAAATAAATATATTATTTTTTTTTTCTTTAAAAATTGATGTACAATTGCTGTAAAAAGTGATATGATTGCTGTAAGAATTGCTATAGTTTCTGTAAAAATTGATGTATTTCGATGCGAATAAATTATCGGCACGTTGTAAATTATGTTTCAGAAACTTCCCAATATTTTTATAATTCTGAAAATTTTGATACAATGCATTTTTTGCTTGCTCAATTCTTCAAAATTCTGAATTTTCGTTGAAGAATCCCTGTTCTCTTCACTATTTTATTGGTGAGTACGGTAAGCAGTCCGCAAACACCACATCTCCCGCGCACTCCACCGAATATTTCTCAACGCGTTGCTTGCATCCCAAATTCTGGATTTTCTCGAATATCTTCGAGTTTTAATCGATTTTTCAGTTTTTCTAACCTAAAAATGTAAATTATCTGTCATATTTTCCTACAGAATACTTTCCTATTCGCTCGTTTCCGTCGTTATCTGTTTCTGAACTTCTAAAATTCTCAGTTTTCAGGTAATCGAAAAACACAATCATGACCGGAATCAATTTGTAAGTTAATACAAGCAGACAACCGATATTTAATTCCACCGTTTCTTTTCAGAATTACGTCCGCTCCAGAAGTCAACAGTTGGGCTGAGGCCGTTGAGCAAGACAGTGAGTCCGAAAACATTCCCTGAAACAATTTAAAGTCGATATTTAGGTGCTCCACATATCCAGGAAGGTGCCGACGGAATTCGCACAGAGACCGCGTTCACCGAAGTCGATGGAGTCAGATATAAGGTTGGTTTGTGTTAATTTCTCTAGAATTTTCTAAAAATCAATATTTAGGTTGTCACCCAATTCAAAGTCATCAACAAGCGTGTGCCGAAGGTGGTAGCCGATCGCAAGAAGTGGGTGAAGTTCGGAAGCTGCAAAGGAGAACCAGCAGGTCCACAAGTCGCCACGACGTACGTCGCTGAAGAAGTCGAGATGCAATTCACCAGAAACCGCGCTGGAGAGCAGATTCTCGACGTGCAGGAGGATAAGCAGGCGGCGAAGACTACGAGCCGTGAGCATTGCCGTCACTGCAAAGGAAACGATCACTGGAGCACACATTGTCCGTACAAAGTCATGTATCAGTTGGACGAGGAGGCCGACGCCAACCAGGACGCGGATAGCAAGAATGCGTTGGGACTTCGTGGTGATGGACGTCAAATGGAAAGAAACCGGTAGGAAAAAACTCTTTAAATAGTCGAATAGTTCTCATCGCTTTAATTTTTCAGCTCCGACGAGAACACGTGCCGAGTCACAAACCTCCCGCAAGAGATGAACGAGGACGAGCTCCGTGACGTATTCGGACGCATAGGACGCGTCATTCGAATCTTCATAGCCCGCGACAAGATCACCGGACTGCCCAAAGGATTCGCGTTCGTCACATTCGAATCGAGAGACGACGCCGCCCGTGCCATCGCCGAGCTCAACGACATCCGGATGTATCACATGGTTCTCAAGGTCGAGTGGACTCGTCCGAGCAACTAAATGGCTTCATTGTTCAATATTTATGTTCTTTCTCGTACTTGGGCGTCTCTTCTTTCCATTTGTTCCCTGTTTTCTTTTAATGCATGAGTTGTGTGCTCTTGTTGGTTCATGATAAATTCGATTCTACCCGTAACTATTAAATATCAAGTTAGACCGAAATGGTACTATCCGAATGATATTTTTCTCATCTATTCTCCAAAAAATCGCAATATATTTATCTAACAATTCAGAATGGGTTTCTTGAAAATTCTGCGAAAGCAGCGAGCCCGCGAACGCGAGATGCGAATTCTCATCCTGGGACTTGACAATGCCGGAAAGACGACGCTGATGAAGAAGTTCCTAGACGAGCCGACAGACACGATCGAGCCAACGCTGGGATTCGATATCAAGACGGTGCATTTCAAGGATTTCCAGCTGAATTTGTGGGATGTTGGAGGGCAGAAAAGTCTACGATCATACTGGAAAAACTATTTCGAGTCGACGGATGCGCTAATTTGGGTGGTTGACTCGTCGGATCGAGGTGAGCAGAGAAATTGATTTCTGGCAGTTTTAAAACGTAAAACATTCCAGAACGCTTGACCCAATGCTCAGAAGAGCTTAAAAAGCTACTCCAAGAGGAACGTCTCTCCGGCGCGTCGCTTCTCGTGCTAGCGAACAAAAGCGATCTACCAGGAGCCATTGATGTCAATTCTATTGCGCAGGTTTGGCGAAAATCTCTTTCAAAAAAATGTATGAAAATTTTTCAGGTCCTGGAACTGCAATCCATCAAGACACATCACTGGAAAATTTTTAGTTGCTGTGCGCTCTCCGGCGAACGTCTGGTGCAAGCGATGACGTGGCTGTGTGATGATGTTGGAAGTCGGATATTCATTCTTGATTGATTCTTTTTTTTCGTGTTAATTTTTGATCTCTATTTATGTATTTAATTATTTGAAAGTATTCATTTTTCATGAAAAATTTGACAAAAGAAATAAATATTAGGTTGGCGGGAAAGTCTTTGTCACTCTGTTTGTTTAATCACTGTTCTCGTATATGGAGGCTGTGTATGATATCGACTCTAGTGAATAACAAGGTGATAAGAACCTTCCATATAAACAAGTCCCCATCTCCTTCCCTGCTCCTCATCTGTAATTGAAACGATATGTTTGTTCCCACTGCTATTCACATCAGACATGTTTTGATTTACCTCTTCCTATCTCACACCACGATGAAGGATTCGGAAACTTTCTTGAAGAATGTGTACAACACACATGCCCCTCACTACAATACTATTCGCAATTGGTTCCATCGTTTCGAAAAAGATGACTTCTCGCTCGATGAAAAGGATCGCTCTGGGAGACCCCGTGAGTTGGATTTGGACAAGCTGAAGCACGCATTGCAATCGGATCCATTTCAATCTAGCCGTGAACTAGCTGTCACATTCGGAGTTCACCATAGCACAGTCCTTGAAGGTTTGAAGTCTCTTGGAATGAGAAAACTTTTTGGTCGATTCATACCTCATCACCTGACTCAAGCCAACCTTGACCGCCGAGTCGACGATTCGATTACTCTTCTCACTCTCCACGCGGGCGATCGATGGCTGGACCGGCTAATAACCGGAGATGAGAAGTGGGTCTTCTACGATAATCACCACAGGAAATCCCAGTGGGTTGGAGAAGGAGAGAGCCCACAGGATGTCCCAAAACCCGACCTTCATCCGAAAAAAGTTATGCTCTCTGTGTGGTGGGGAGTGGACGGCCCCATCTACTGGGAACTTCTGCCCGAGGGCAAAACAATAACTGGAGACCTCTACACTACTCAACTACGAAACCTCAAGAAAGCAGTCGACCGTTCGGCCCTGAAAGACAAGAAAGTGTACTATCAACATGATAACGCTCGCCCACATGTTTCGAAACAAGTGAAGCAGGAGCTGATGGGATATGGATGGAATGTTCTCCCTCACCCCCCGTATTCTCCTGATCTTGCTCCTTCCGACTATTGGTTATTTGGCGATATGACACGTGCCTTCGAAGGAAGAAGCTTCAATTCCCGTGGAGCGGTCGAAGCGGCACTCAAACAATACGTTGCCTCACGCCCGGCTGGATTCTACCGCAATGGAATCCATAAATTGAGGGAACGTTGGAGACATGTTGTTGATAATGATGGACAATATAATTAATTATTCGGTTATTTTTTCTTTGAGAAATAAACTATTGAAAAAGTGACAAAGACTTTCCCGCCAACCTAATAATAAATATTCTTTGAGAATTTCACTCGAAAATTCCGGTTGTCATGTAAGTGACAGTGACTTCTTTCTAGCATTCAGAATTCTTTGATCGTGAAACTCGGGATACGAACATTTACGTCATGAAAATGGCGACGAAAAGGATGAATCCGCCGAAGACGGATGTTTCCTCTGGCTGTTCGCAACTGCGACAATTCGCTACTGTAATTATACTAGCAAAAAGAAAGATGTTAGACTACGGAACTGGTTTCAAGTTCTAAAATTCTGAAACTTAAATTCGAATTTTTGTGTCTTTTTCGCTCTTTCTCTCTCTTTCTTATTTCTTATTATCCTTGTCAGAGAAAAAAAGGTTGAATCGAAGTGTATACGATGTTTGTAAACAAATATCTGAAAGCGTAAACAACCGGAAACAGTTGAAACGAGTGCGACAGTAACCCGGCGGGAAAATGTTAAATTTACCTATTTTTTAGTTTTTCTCATATTTTTCAGCAAATTTCGTCGAATATGGTTTGTTTTTCATTGTTTTTTGCGGTATTTCAAAATATATTCGACGAAATTTGCTGCAAAATATGCGAAAAGCTAAAAAAAAATCAAATTACATAATGAAAGTTGAGCTCCTATATCTCGGTTTTTGTTAAAGATCTGGAAAAGTTGTCAACTGATAAAATCATTGTGATATTATGAAAAACATTTCATTAGTTGACAATATTTAGGTACCTTTTACAGGAACCGAGAAAAATTGGCTCAAACTTGATAGTGTGGGGCCAGCTGTTACAGATTGAATGAAAAACAACAAAGCCAAGTTTGAGCGCAGTTATCTCAGTTCCTATAAAAGATATCAAAAAACTGTCAACTGATAAAATATTGCTGATATTATGGTGAACAATTTATTTGCTGACACACGTTTGATAGCTTTCACAGTAACCGATATAAATAGGATCAAGCATAACAGTGTGGGGGCTCCCGGACATTTCGTAGCCGGACATTTCGCAGCCAGACATTTCGCAGCCAGACATTTCGCAGCCGGACATTTCGCAGCCAGACATTTCGCAGCCGGACGTTTCGCAGCCTCTGATAACGTCAGAAAATCAGAATTCCAAGTTTTTCGGTTTCGAAAAAAAGTATATTTTAATGTCAGAAATTAAATTTTCGAAGAAATCGGCTGAAAAAATAGCAAGCAAGTGTTCAATCAATGGAAAACTGCTAAATCTTCATTGTCATTCAGAATTTCTGTTTAAAATATA